CACATATGCTTTAGAATGCTAATACATTTCCGGACGATATGGTGCAATTGTCGCCATTAGAGACATTTTTGCTGCACCCATCCTTGTATTTTTATCAGCCAGACACTTACTGACGTTGAGGACGTTAAGCCGCCGGGTATATGGTGACCGAAACGCAGTTGCCGTTTGCTTGGTTGAGCTCGGATGCGGTAACACACTTGAACACGAAGTTGCTGTATTGGCCTTCGCGTCCACAAAGTGGGCATGTACGCGGATGTGGCCGCTGCAGCAGGCAGCGGGCATGACGCGTTTTCACTGACTTCATAGGCTTCAGTGCATCCGGGGCCAATTGCCGTTGCAGTTGAGCGTTAGTAAGCGCCAGCACCTATCGGCATGATGCAACTTGCATCTGCAAGCTCGCTTAGCTCGCGTAGCTTGGCACTTTAGCAGGTGTAGTCGCTGTCGCAGTAGGCAAATCGACAGGTAGGCCCAGCGGCGAGCGTACATGTCGCCGCTCCGTCGTCTGTAGCGTGACGCTTCCACACACTAAAAGCGGATTTGTCGATGGATTGCCATTTGTGGTGGGATGTCCGCTGAGAGGCCACTTCAACTTAAGGTCACCGAGCATACGATCATCGAAAGTAGCAAGCAATATGAGCAGATTTGTGTTGGTTGTACACAAACTTAGTCACAACATCCGTCGTACCGTATCACTCGTACGTACATGTACCGTGATTCGCTGAAGACGGCAGCGGACATGTCGGCGCGTCCAGCCAGGACGACGGGGCACAGCATGTGCACTCCTGCCGGTACGTCTGATAACGTTGGTCATTCGTAAAAAGTGCAGCCTCGTCCTTCTTCTGCTGTAGCGAGCAAAGATAATGGGGCGCGTATGTCGTGGTCTACGCTCTCACTGCCGATGTAGAGCAACAGATACAGACGAAAGGAGCAAGGTCAGGCCTGTAATCAATAGAGCTACACGTTCATTACGTGCAATTTACCTGGTGCTGTGTAGAAAGCGGTCGCTAAAATTCTGATAACGTGGGTATGAGATGGACCCACCGCCGTATGTAGCGTGACCAGCGGCAGGGAAGAGGATGCATTGAGCTTTCTTGAGTAGTAGCAGGGAAATAATTGCCACCTGAAGCTGCATTTTC